ATTGTTAGTACTAATATAATTTAAGAAGAACTTGGAAGGTTTTTTTTTTTGAAAAAAAAAATTAAGCAATTGGCGTAAATTTTGTTGAAAATAAAACTTTGAAATAGTTTGACGAGGTGCAAGTTTTCTTGTTAAATTTTGTTGTAATTTTATGTTTACTAAAATTATTAAATATATCATATATAAAAATTAATATTTTATTGGTTTATTCAACTAAGCAAAAACAACAAAATTCTTTAACTAATTTTTGTAGGTTTATTTAATCAATAATTTATTTTTTAAATTCAGCCAGATTTTGCTGTTGCCATTTATATTTCAAATTATTCCGCTAGATTCTGCAAAAAAATTACCAAAAATTAAGCCAGATTCAGCAATTCTACAACTTTCAGCTACATTCTACTTATTTATTTACACCCTAAGTCAACCTCATGGTATGCATTTGATGGCCGTTAAAGAAGTGTTATACAGTATATATATATTGCTATTGTTTTTTTTTGCTAAACGATATAGTGCTATTGTTCTATACTAATTAACCGGTTAGAGTTTTCATTAGTTTTTTTTCTATTGTAACTTTACTTTTATTTTTCAACGCTAGTTGGACCATATATATATATAGAACATTAAGACATATAGTTATTTGCGTTATCACCTTAATTCAAAATGAAAAATGTTGGACCATAAAATAAATTTTAGACGCATATTTTACATGACCTATTATATTCAAATTTCAGCTATTTAAAGTTTGAGATATATCTGAAATTTTGTTTTTATGTGTTGTGTAAATACGACACAAATTTTAAAAAGCAAGTAGTATGTAGAAAGTCTTCATATAATCTTTTAAAAACCTTACGATTTAAGTATATTTTAGCTTTCTATTTATATAAACGAAACTGTAAGTAACTGGAACGAAAATGTGTTGAATTGTGGAGTCTAATGTTTTAGTCTTTTAGATATGGTGTGTGAAAAAGATATGGTGTGTGAAAAACGTTCATATATCGAGGAAATTCATCAAAGATATTTTCAGATATTTTAGATTTATGTTTTTGTCTTGTTGTTTAATTTACGTTTTTTAAGTAATTATTTGTTATTATTTCTCATTGTACTAGAGAAAGCTAGCGAAAAAAAGAGAATTTCTTGTAAGAATTCTGAATCAATTATAGTAACCTAACTATCATGCTAGGGATGAATCACTACGAATCTTGTATGTTGTATATTATTACTCTAAAATTATTTTATGTGGGTCGAATTTATTATCCAAATTCCCAATCGAAATTAAGTTATGTATTTTTTGTCAACCACATTAATTAAAATATGCCACCGAAATTAAGCTATATATCCATAGGTTTATTAAAACAAATGAGGTGCTTGTAGAAATAAGGTTTTTAGATACATATAATACCCATATAAGTCTTAGATGAAGATATATATAATACACATAATGCCATAAGTATTTGATGAAGATGAAAATAGTAGGAGGAGAAAACCAAGTTGTCCATAATGTACATTATAATATAATGATGCATGTATAATAACATCATTATTATCAAGAAATCTTGAAGATCTATTGTTTAACCGATATAAAAGTAACCAAAAAATATATATCTAATAGTTGAAATAAGTAATAAGAAAAGGGAATGTAATTGCCTAATTGTGACAACATATGTTCTCTTTTCAATACAAGCCTGCATAAATCCAGGTAATCTGCCTTTGCAACTCTAAAGGCAAAGGTTCAAAAAAAAAAAAAACTCTAAATTTTTACCTAATTAAGTAATGCTTTAATTTCTAGAGAAAAAGGGAAATTGACAAATATAACAAAAAAAAAATATAATAACTAAGAAATTTTTTTTATGTGGCACTAATCATAACCAC